ATCTACTTACCTCAGCCGCAACGCCAAGCTCGGCTCCATCATCAACGCCATGGCCAGCTCTCACCAATTCAGGTGCTCAATCAAATCCGTCCTGGTATCTATTAATAATTGTTTTGATCGATCGTGCTAATTAATCGTGCGTACCTAGGCTCTCCCTGGACTGGGAGCTTGTGAGGAGAAAGGCGTCGTTGGTGGTCTACGAACTGCTTCTCCAGTCTCCAGAGTTGAGACGCCTGCTGATACTGCCGCGGCAGACAGTGAACCCTCAACAACTGCTTCCCATCGGGTGTGTTCCTGTATTCGTTAATTCCTCCAATCAATCTCGATTACTCTCTGATGACTTCCTTCTAGTCGATCGTTCAGTACATACTCCCTCCGTTCCAAATTACTTGTCGCAAAAATGGATGTATCTAGAACTAAAATACATCTAGATACATCTATATCTGCGACAAGTAATTCGGAACGGAGGGAGTATATGTTAATAATAATGCTGGTTGATTGACCGTGCCGTGGTGGTATTTTACCAGCCCTCGTCGTCCAAGACGTCACGTGAGGAAACAAGCCCGGCGGCCAACATCAACTGCCATCGCCAGGCTCTATCTCAACACAAATAGGAGGTACCTACGAGTACAACACGATAATTATCATGAGATCGAATCCTTAGATACTGCGGTCTCTGAAAGTGAAGTCTGAATTTCATACATGACATTCACAAATTTCCATTTTCCTGCCTTTTTGCAGCCTGTTCAGTTCAGAAAGCCCACATCCTGGTACAACATCCTTCTCTTTACAACATATCCTTCTTTTTTACTCCCTCCGTTCGGAATTATTTGTCTCGGATATGGATGTATCTAGAACTAAAATACATCTAGATATATCCATTTCTGCGACAAGTAATTCCAAACGGAGGGAGTACAAACATCCTGGTGGTGGCATTGATTAAAGCAATGCGTCTCGACATGTATCCGATAGTTAACTGTCCTTATGATTTCAGCACTGTTGGCAGAGTCTTTGAAGAGGGTGGCAGATCTTATCGGTAGTTAACACTGCCTTTCCTCAACATTCCAATTTGTACATGAATATTTAACCTGTTCGTAGCATTTGGTGTTCCATGACACGTATAAACTGTCTGATATTTTTCCTATTGTTCCTTTGTTGGGGAAATCACTTGCACTATGCTACATCCTAGCTATCTTTTTTCTCTCCGAGCAATATGAGTTCCTATCTACTGATAAACTCGTGATTTTTGTTACAGATCAATGTTTAAAAAGTGATAAACGCCCGGAGCTCCATCAAGGGCAAATACTTCAGTCAATTTGTAAGGAAGGTAATTAAATCACACTCGTTTTATCCTTTATAGCCACTTGTCATTCTCTGTGCTTGCTTACTCTCTGAGCTTTGTAGCTGCTCATTACGTCATCTGCACTTTATCAATGCCTAGCTGCCTGTTGTTATTTCTAGCTTGTTTCTGAACACGCACTACTTCGTTAGGGGGCTATATGCATCATTGCTAATAAATATTTCGTTCACCATGTTTCCTTTGTCATTCTTGTGTTGGGTTCATCGTTCATGATCATTCATGAACGGAAAGGCTAAAAATCTGATGTCAGACTTTTAGGCATGGAAAATCTGATGTTTTCCTTGGCAATTTATATTGACACGGTGATGCAAATTTAGCTTGCAAGCACGACAATTTTCTAGTCAGCCATGCTCGCCAACTAAACTTGCCATCCTCGGCGAACATAATTTGTCATGAAAAACGTTTGATTTGACATGGTCGAAAATCTGACGTCAAATTTGTAGTGAAGTCCTTATAAATGAACTCCTTATGTTGTGCGTTCCATTTTATAAGTGCCTGGCTAACTAATGTACTTCAAACTACCGTACTGGTTTAAGGTGCTCCTGGAGCTACACTCTTGCAAACCACGTATGGTACCTTGACAAATCCTGATAACAACATTGGGACCTCATCGGTGACGAATGCAGGTAAATGTAATTAGTTGAACACTCGGAGCTTGTCTACCTGCTGTCATTGCTAACTGCAAAACTCGTTTCAGGTGCTGCTACACCCTTCACGGGACAGGCTACTAAACATTTTTGTTTCTCTTCAGCTGCAAATTCAGGTTTATATTATTCACAACAAAAAAATTCAGGTTTATATTTTGAACTGAGTGAATTCCATTTGTTTACCCTCAAAATTGACACGTGTGACAAATACTACCCGATTTAGCAAAAAATCTCAATTTAGCCAAACTTGTGCCACATTTTACCCCTTTTTTTTCTCAATTTTGATGCCGAGCACGTGCAGTCAGCATCAAAATTGAGGGGGGAAAAGGGGTAAAATGGGATAAAAACAGAAGTTACTCATCTTTTCATAGTCTTTTTTGGGCTCAGTAAAGCACCGCAGTTTTTTTCTGCTGGATTCACACATTTCATAACTAGTAAATAGCTTGTCTTTTGGACACTTCTAACTGGTGAAATCAATACTTACTGGAGTGCAGGCTGAAGCTGGATTTGCACGGTGAACTTGACGGCCTAATTATGTGGGGGCAGTGCCCTTACTTCTGGTGCTCCGGTCTACGTAAAGATGACAGATCAATGTTTACACTATTAGGTTATTTTGCTGCTATTTGCGCTATGTTGAATTATTGACTCGAGGCTTGCTAGTCCCATAGCTAGAACATCTATTCTATGTAAGCACCAACTATTTTCGTATGGAGTTCCTTGGATGTCATTTGGCCACCAAATTTTGCAAGAAGCTACAACATTAGGTCATAATCGAAGCCACAAAGTTTCGGATTCTTTTTTTGCTATTTGTTTTGTTTTACCGTTCATCGAGGTTGCAATGCACCTGTGTGTAGCCACAAACTTTCCCTTTTGCCTTTCACTTGGTCAGCCTCAGGGTGCAACTAGGTGGCAATCTCGGTAGAAACTAGAAACCACTTCGAGGATTCCACACCTGGTGGTCGCTTGTGGGGGACGATTTCATTCCTCACGTGCCAACAGCGCCACAGAGTCATGAGGAATCCAAGCCTCTCCGAGAGATCACAGAGGCTATGGAGCAACCATTCCGGTCCTGTAGGCACCATCTTGAGGATGTCTGGTAGTTTCCAGTGATGAACCGCCATTTCTTGCTAAAGCATCACCACACATGTAAACCCATGAAACGTCTCCTCTCACTCAGTCACGAAGGACATAAGTCAGAAATTTAAGATGCTAACCCTTTTTGTAGGCAAGGGATTGGTTACAAGGCGCCACACAAATATATGAACCTTAGCAAGAGCTAGGCACCTCCATAAGAAAGCCCGGACGGTTGTCCCGTGCCGGGCTCACCGCAACAGGAGATGATCAAAGACGTGGTCAAGCCCTAGGGGATACGCGCTCCAGACCAAGAGTACACCGTTGCGCTCCGGCTCCCAAGCCAGCCATCATCTCCAAGACATGGACTCACTGATTGTGATGATTTCTTCGACATCGGCTTGCAGGAAATATTTACGTAGATATATTTCTCCACATTGCGAGAATTCGATAGAACTTGCATCAAACGTATCTGGGCGGCTAGGTAAAAAGAAACTTCTGGTGCAAATAACAGTATTTGCTTCAGATGGGCAATGTTCTCTCACATAAGGTAAAACTGCCAATTCTAGGAAGACGGTGTTTTCAGGGACAGGTGCTTCTTCGACAATTACTGATATCACATCTGCTGTAAAGTTCACTCCCAAAGCAACAAGCCAATAATGACACATGCAGGACAACAGAACAAAACTGTGACCCAGTAGAATAAGTCTCATTTGAGATGGGTTGATAATGCAGGGAAAAATAATCTGTTTTGAGAGTGGAACCGGAGAGTGCAGGAAAGAAAAAACAATCTAATTTGAGGACGGAAATCTAATTTACAAGGTGGGAGCACACTGAAAAAAAATCTGGTTTGAGGGTGGATGGTTGCACCAAGCACTTGCCCAGTGATGATTTGTCTACAATGGTAGTGACAGGTTCAGCTGAGATGGGAATCAGCTGGATGTATCCTGTCAGTACACAGAAACATAAGGATCCTGCACACGATAGAGAAACATCCGTCAGACAAGGCATCCAACTAAGAAAAAATAGAAGGTCTGATAGTGGTATTTTTGTTTCAAATCCTAAGGAGTCCAAAAATAAATCCATATAAAATCACCCCTATCCAAACATAGCCTACTTTGGGAAATCAAGTGATCTTTCCATAAGAATCCTATATACTTAAGAGATTCATCCGCATTAACTTATTTATCTCAACATGCAAGCATGCCACATCACCGTACAATTATGAATGGGATAAGAACCACCTCAACATGCAACCATCCATGGGAAAATACCAACCACTACATGCAACCATGCATGGGAAAAAACCAACCACTACATGCAACCATGTATGGGAAAATATTTTTCATTCTATTATTCTACTTATATCCAATAAATATTTTACAACCAAGTCATATACATTTTTATTTTGGTCACGTGTTACTAATCCAAATATTTATATTCCACGCAATCAAATATCATCGAAATATATTGCAACTGATTCCCGCAGCAACTAGTTGGTTCAAATCTCAACTACGGGTATTTTAAGACAGTTCGAAATTTGCATGCCCATGCCACTTTGCCTACTCCAGTTCACTTTTTTTACCAGCGTCGGCCAGAAGGCAACGAAAACCTTGGTCAATATTTTGGCTAGCCAAGTTTTTAGTGGGCTTGACTTTGGCTCAAACCAAACACACACTACATCTTAATAGTTCCAAACAGCACATGCACCCCTACAGAAGTAAAACAATATCCTATTGCACCGTATGAATACATATTCTCAATGCACTTATACAACATGTAAAAATAACTGAAATAGAAAAGAAAATTAACAGGATGAACAATAAAAATGCAAATTTTAACAACAGCCAGTAGTACAAAAGAAGGGTCCGAACATGAAATAGCACTATGTTATAAGTAGTCATCAGTGTAACCTTCAATATTCAGTCTTCTTCTGGATCTTCTGGGCGCTGTAAAAAGATAAGATCAAATGAGCAGGCGCCTTGTCTGGAGGAAATGAGACAAGCCCATCCAAAACAGGTATGGTAACAATGCTATATGCAATAAAGTGAGGATTGAAAATGCTCGGTATCGACCTTCAATGCAGTTCTACGATTGAAAGGTGCTATGCCTACGTAAATATGAGTAATCCGACTGTTATTTAAACATCAAAGAAAAAATCCAATCATGTTTTACTGACTTTGGTAGCAAATGTGAAGCAGACGCTTGCAAGTAAGGTATGACAGAACCCAAAAGCTTCAAAAGACAAACCAAATCAACCAGTTTAGTGACTAAGAGTGTCGTACCGGTAGGAAGTCCCAGTCTTCCTCTCTCATATCAAAATTTTCAGTAGTTTCTTCATCAAGCAGTAACTGAACCAAAACAAATAATATATAAATTGCTCATTAGATATCATGTAAAAATCATCTGTTAAAATACTCACGGTATGCATTCCAGTGTACTCATCATAGTCATGTACAACTGCTGGGACATACCTGAAAGGCAGAATATTGAAAGACAAGGGGTTAAACCAGACCGGGAACTGAAAACGACAGATAAAAGGATATCTAACACCATCAACCAGATTTGAAGCTGTGAAGGCATACATTTTGTCCCGTCGATCCCATAAACGGATGATCTCCCCAATACAATTATCTGAGGTTGTCTTTCTTTTCTTCATGTCGTGCTGATCTTGTGAGCTTGCTGAGTTGCCATTGTGGAGAACAAACGAGTTGACCGACTTAGACGTGCCAACCATTTTTCTGCAGTTTGAAGATCCACAATGACAATCTTGATCTGCTCCAAACTGGACAAATCTGTAAAAAAGGACAGAGATTAGAAACAGCAACAGTTTTGTGTACACGATGCGATAAAGCAAGGTGGGTGAAACAAAAAAAATTATAATGAAAAAAAAACTTATAAAGTAACCAGGAACCTGAATGAACATACTTATAGTCATAGGTCAGCTCCTCCCCTTTCTCTATGTCACGAAGAGCAAAAATTCCAACTCTGGTCTCTCCATCTACAGTCCTGAAATAACATGATACCAGTAGCAAATATCAGGGTCATCCGCATGGATATAGAATAAGCAGCACAATATAACTAACCATTTCTGCATCTCTGTGTTTGGTTCACAGCTATGATTGATGAACCTGGACTTGTTCCCCTTGTTTGTTGCATCAATGACCATATTACTACTGACCTCACAAAGATAGAAGTTAGTGTAACGTTGTCTCTTCATTTTCCATAGTCTTTCCTCACAAGTTCTGTCATCAATGACTACAAAATCGATGCAAGATATATGGATATTAGTTTGATCGCCCAGTGTACAATGTGAGTAACCATCATAATATATAATACTGCATTTGTCTGCATTTCATTTACTTGCTCAAAATAGATTTCAACAAACCCTTACCTTCTCCTACATATTCTATAACAAATTCTCCTTTCTTTATTTCGTCCTCGGCTATCAATCCAAAGCCACATTTCTCTGTCTAGAATATAACAGTCTTTAGGGAACTGTTAGGAAGTGAAAAATATGTATACACACCAATTAAACATTTTATGAAACAATTAAATTTATGCACCACTTACAACGAAACCTAGAAAATGGTCATCAAATAATAATGATTGGCTACGCTTCAAAAAATATGAAACATGAAACAACTTGCTTAGATTCTCTGTAGACTTATTAACACATAAGAGCATACTTTCCTCCTCGCATTTAATTTTGCAAATTGTAAAGTATTCAATGTTGAAGTATTGCTTGAGTTACTGCATGAAGAAGAATATACTGCCTCACAAGATAAAGAAAGTTTCATAAAGGGATTTGCCATGGTTTAAGGTGCAGGGCCAGTTGTGCACAGAATGCGACTATGTGTTGGATATTTTGCTAACATACATATAATCTCTATGAAACATGCATATATAAGGGCCAGATCAGATATGGAGTACAGGGATAATTAATGGGGTTCCTAAGAGATCTCTGAATTATATATAAGTTCCAGATAGAAATACAAAATAGGGAAAAACATTGTATGTAACGTAACATCATAAGGAAAAACAATACCAGACAACACAGTATCATAAATTGACCTAGGGACAACGATGCAATACTGACTATAGAAACAAATGTCTAGAACGGTAAAATCACCAGAGTACATATAACCAAGAAAATGACACAAATCTAGTTAAGAAGGTCCTGGTGAACAAGGCAAATGTAGCAGCAGTTGTCTGCACACAGATTCGACATGTATGTATAGGATATAGCCAAATATGGTAAGTCAAGCATATTTTCCTCTGTTTGTATCCCCTAAGGTAACAACGAAACAAAAATTAGGTCGCATACGGACAAGTAACTGGTTAGCTGCACAGACTAATATTACAACTCACCAGAATCAAGAGCGTGCAGTGGAAAGAATTGGAAGTCAGAGGAGGGCATGGCCACTGTTGGAGGCGCCGACAGCAGCAGGTTTTGGGAGAGGAGAATAGAAGGGGCCAGCAGGCACCTGTGGGGTGAATAGGCCTTGCAGTGGTGGATTTGAGCTGCTAGCATCACTTCAGCAGAGTCACATAGGACAAAAAGGACGGCCAGGCAAGTCAAGGACGCACAAACTTGATGTCAAGGAAACTGAGGCGGCTTGGCATTGGGAGTTCAGACCATTGGCTGCAAGTATTTAACTGTTTTGAACCACAGGGACCTGGAAAGCCAGATAGGGACAGGGAGAGGAACATCCCTGCCCCTGCTTCACAGGGTTCATCCCCCAATACACAGTTACCCCTACTGTGGTTGAAATAGAAGATCCCTATCCCTATGAAAAAAAATCCGTGGGAAGAATTCCAGCCAACCAATAAAGCCTACTAGAGGAATTTTCTACCGGGAACAGGAGAGCCCCATTGGTGTACCTAACATGCAAAAGTCTTGACATATAGTTGTGGTTAGACAGAATTGCACCATGTATGGCAGATCAGGTCACAAACAACTGCCTCAAGAAAGCGGCTTGACTCATTCAAGTTGTACTGTCAAAATTACTAACTTCAAACATTTGGCGATTTTCTTTAAGCTAAAATTTTTTATGTTTCATTTTATGTTGCTACCAACCACTTCGTTTATTTACTAGTATCCTCAAGAAAGAAATAAGAGAAGTCATTGTACCTGAGCAGATTGCAGTTTGAGAGTTCAAATATGCTTTATTTCAGTAACGAAAGAGAGAAATAGAAGTTATAGATTGGTCCATGTAAGCAGAACAGCTGGTATACTTACACATAAATACAACGATGTATTTAACTTATATTCCTTTACATGGGGTCATCGTTGCTGCTATTGACTTGCTCATTGGTCGTGGACTTACAAGCAAGCAAATTAAAGTTCTAAGTTCATGCAACTTTTCTGTATTTGTTTCTCAATTATTCGTTCAATCAACCTAACACCTGGATGTAGGTATCAGCTGTCACAGGCTCACAGCACCTCCCACCTCCCGTGCTACAAAATCTCAGCAACAGGTTCCCTGGGTACGATTAGATAAGCCATGCCATATGTGTATAGCAGGTTCCCGTTGTTTACTCCGTTTTTGGTCTTCAGGCTCCATGTTTACGCAGGGATGATCGATTTTGAAGTAGATGAGAGAGGGTGCTGTCTTAAACTTCTCGCTGTCCAATGCTTATGCTGTAAAACGTGCCTCCTGTGCTACAAAATCTCGGCAACAAGTTCCCTGGGTACGATTAGATAAGCCACGCCATATGTGTATAGCAGGTTCCCGTTGTTTATTCCGTTTTTGGTCTTCAGGCTCCATGTTTACGCAGGGATGATCGATTGTGAAGTAGATGAGAGAGGGTGCTGTCTTAAACTCCTTGCTGTCCAATGCTTATGCTGTAAAACGTGTACATAATGTTTCCATCCTTCAATATAATGCATCTGGCCTGTAGGTCGGGCGACCGATCAAACGGCGCAGTGACTAATGTCGTTGATTTGTACCCACAGGTACATAGTTCCAGTTTTGGCAGATGCTGGTGATAGAAGCTTCGCTACATAATCGGACTATTCAGTTTTGGTGAAGACTCTGTTTAGTGAGGATCGTATATGCTGTTTTTTTTTAGGATTGTCATACTGTATTGGAGTACTTGAGTGTTAAGATTGTACTGCCTTATTCCATCCTTTCTCAGTAATATACTTTTGATTCTTAGTATTTTGTAATTATTATCCATTTTTATGGATGTAATATACATGACTAACTGTCACGACTCCCCGAAAAAACAGCTTATTCTTTAAGAGGCAACATCTGTTTTTTACTTTTCGTGTGTGTATGTGATGATTTTTGTTCCCAAAGCATATTTCAGATTCGTGAGTGCTTATCAGTCAACAAAAAAAGGAATGACCGACCGTGGCCATTTCAATCAGACCAATAATGCATGAAGCAATGCCGAAGCAAGATTAACAGATCATGAATGGCTGTCTGGAGGTAGTGTGGCCACCGGTATTTAGCTCATTAAATGGGCGGAATAATTTAATTGAATAGCTCCAAGAGCAGATGGTACTGTTACAATATGGAAGATTGCTCGCTACGGCATGTACAATGGGGTGTTCTTCGTCATGATATTTAATTATCTACCGAAGCAAGAGAGGAGAAAGAAAGAAATTGTTTCACTCCAGGGAAAGCTAAGAGAAGGCTAATTGTTCTAAAGAATACGATCTCTAACACCGTATTAATGTTTTATAGCCATCCTAACAAGTCTTATTGGAAGGTTAAAAGTTTGCAACCAGACAGCAGTGTACCAGGAATAACATGGCAAGTTCGGTTAGCCCGTCTGTTAGAATCACATTATGTACAAACAGTATTATTTGTCACAAACTGTGTGACCTAGCACCATCCCCTGTTGGCCGTGGCAAGACACCATTCTGAGGTAATTGATGGGCATTGACGAAATAGGCTCTTGATACAGTATAGTTGTTCTACTCAGCCGCTACTCTGCTACTAAAAAAACTCTACAAGATCTCCACCCTGGTCACTGAAACTAAATAAGTCTACAAAATGTACGAAATTTTAGCTACTATTGTCAATCCACGGCCAGTCACTCAAATTACTACAGACCTACCCATGTTTTCCTCGATATTTGCTGTTAGGATTTTATATTGCTCCAATGCAAACCTTATTTTGTTCATTTTTACCCATGCAGGATTTAGTTGTTGGCAGACCCAAAGCTGTTTATTTCTATAAAGTTGGTGGTAGAGGTCCTTGCTGGGCTTTTGACAGTGAGACGAAGTTTGTAGGTTGGTTTCAGTGCTATATACTTTGCATTATTGAAGATTAGACAACCCGGAAGAATATTCTTAATGAATATGGCTCCTCTAATCCTATTATAAAATAAGGAACCCACAGTCCCCTTACGATACAACATAGAAACTAGAACACATTCTATTCAAGGCGCGTGCAGTAAAAATAGATTATATTCAGATATTGCATTATAGGGCCATATATAGCAATCACAGTGTTCCTTCTCAGTCCTCAATTTTCCCCTTAAATGGCCAATTCTTCCAGACTCACTAATTATGAAAATTTGAATAGGTCATACCTTAATCAATTTTGTTTTGAACAAAGGTCGGAGCTGGAATGATTTATTGGCACAATCGTTCTCACATTTACAGTTTGATGAACAACAAGAGAACAGCATCCTGCACCAATAAAATAGCGGTTCAGAATTGTTCTTTTCTCGACAATACTGAATTTTACAAGTGCATTAATCAAATAGCCAAGAATGTATTTTTCTTACAGAGTACGAAGCAATTATATTATGCGCACTTGTGTTTGCGTGCCTGAGAGAGAGAGAGAGAGAGGTACCCGCATTGGCAATCTTTTCCACAAGCAACTGGTGATCCAGAAGAAAGGGAGCAAGAACAAAAAATGCCATCATCTTCAACCCGCTTCTTAGTAAGATAAACATCTTTGCAGAATTAAGGACATCAATAATGTAAAAAAATATGATTATCATGTGCAGATTAGAAGTTCACATCATGAGAGTGTAAATGGGCAA